TGCTCCTGCTCCCCAAGCAATAAGCTTTGATAATTCTATTCACTCACGCGCAAGTCCCACTCATATCAAATTGTGTTTGTGGGGAAGTACCTTGTCTGGTGTGTGGGGTAGTACCCTGGCTGGTGTGTTCTTTCTTGAATTCTAATGTGTTTATCGCCTTCTTTACCAAAGGGCTGGCACTAGGAGCTTTCTTTTGGCCCATGGCGGCTTATTTAGCAGTTGCAAGCACTAAAACAAATGGAATATTATGAAATGTATCGTATGAATGGTTAGGATCGTGCTCACTGGCTGATAAACAATGACACACTGACTGTAAATGGTGTGTCAGGCCACTTGGGCCGCTCAAATACGTTCGGGACGCGTTCGAATCTGATAAAATATTCTATACTATCATATATTAAGTGCTCATTACACCTGGGCATAAAAAAAAAAGATAAATTAAAATTACTACACAGTACATTAAAATACGGTGTCGGTCATCCTTCCCTCACACAACTGTTGTACAAAAATGGCGATAATGGTGAGAAAGCAGTAAAAGCACTGAATATAATGAACAATAGGTGAATTAAAAGCCAACAAAAATGTGGAACACCGTAAAGGGACGAAAGTCAGACGGTTCCATCCGAATGCGACCACTAACTGTGTGACTACTTAATGATCGAAGTTGGACCAAAACATTGTCATAAGTTTCAGACTACTAAGTGGCTTTTTATTCTATAAAAAAGGATACTTCTCTACTTCCTCATGGAGATGAAAAGAATATTATAAGTACAACAACTATTAAGAAACTAATAAAGTTGAATTATTGATATTATATTTTACTCAGATTTTTAACCAAGTGCATTCATACTTTATGTATGATCACTATGTGTAAAGCTATGTATGATCACTATATATTTTTTTTTTTATTATCACACTGGCCGATTCCCACCAAGGCAGGGTGGCCCGAAAAAGAAAAACTTTCACCATCATTCACTCCATCACTGTCTTGCCAGAAGGGTGCTTTACACTACAGTTTTTAAACTGCAACATTAACACCCCTCCTTCAGAGTGCAGGCACTGTACTTCCCATCTCCAGGACTCAAGTCCGGCCTGCCGGTTTCCCTGAATCCCTTCATAAATGTTACTTTGCTCACACTCCAACAGCACGTCAAGTATTAAAAACCATTTGTCTCCATTCACTCCTATCAAACACGCTCACGCATGCCTGCTGGAAGTCCAAGCCCCTCGCACACAAAACCTCATTTACCCCCTCCCTCCAACCTTTCCTAGGCCAACCCCTACCCCACCTTCCTTCCACTACAGACTGATACACTCTTGAAGTCACTCTGTTTCGCTCCATTCTCTCTACATGTCTGAACCACCTTAACAACCCTTCCTCAGCCCTCTGGACAACAGTTTTGGTAATCCCGCACCTCGTCCTAACTTCCAAACTACGAATTCTCTGCATTATATTCACACCACACATTGCCCTCAGACATGACATCTCCATTGCCTCCAGCCTTCTCCTCGCTGCAACATTCATCACCCATGCTTCACACCCATATAAGAGCGTTGGTAAAACTATACTCTCATACATTCCCCTCTTTGCCTCCAAGGACAAAGTTCTTTGTCTCCACAGACTCCTAAGTGCACCACTCACCCTTTTCCCCTCATCAATTCTATGATTCACCTCATCTTTCATAAACCCATCCGCTGACACATCCACTCCCAAATATCTGAATACATTCACCTCCTCCATACTCTCTCCCTCCAATCTAATATCCAATCTTTCATCACCTAATCTTTTTGTTATCCTCATAACCTTACTCTTTCCTGTATTCACTTTTAATTTTCTTCTTTTGCACACCCTACCAAATTCATCCACCAATCTCTGCAACTTCTCTTCAGAATCTCCCAAGAGCACAGTGTCATCAGCAAAGAGCAACTGTGACAATTCCCACTTTATGTGGGAGTTGTATAGAAAGATATGTATGATCACTATGTGTAGAGAGCTATGTATGATCACTATGTGTATAGAGAGCTATGTGTGATCACTATGTGTAGAGAGCTATGTATGATTACTATGTGTATAGAGAACTATGTATGATCACTATGTGTATAGAGATCTACATACGATTCGCACTTGAAGTGTCAAGAAACACTGAGCTGACTGACCCAGCACTCTCTCAGTACCACACTATCACTGGTCACACTCTCAGTACCACACTATCACTGGTCACACTCTCTGTACCACACTATCACTGGACACACTCAGTACCACACTATCACTGGTCACACTCTCAGTACTACACTATCACTGGTCACATTCACAGTACCACACTATCACTGGTCACATTCTCAGTACCACACTACCACTGGTCACTCTCTCAGTACAGTAGGGCTCTGCTTTACGACATTTAGCTTTACTGCGTTCTGCTAATACAGACATTTCAAATTATGACCAAAACTTGCTATACGGCTCCCCCCACCTGACTTTCTAATATGGTCACTGCGCCCCCTTGGTTTGTTTACATTCTCCTTGAGCTCCGTGAGCACCATGTCTCTCCATTATCGGCCAACTCGGTGATCAGCCGGTTTTTCGGCTCCCGGTGATCGGCCGTTATTTCAGCATGCAGGGAGTGTAGCAGGCATGCAGTGAGTCTAACAGGTATGCAGAGAGTGTAGCAGACATGCAGGAAGTGTAACAGGCAGCCAGCAGCAACAGCCTGGTTGATCAGGCTCTGATCCACCAGGAGGCCTGGTCACAGACCGGGCCGCGGGGGCGTTGACCCCCGGAACTCTCTCCAGGTAAACTCCAGGCATGTAGGGAGTGTAGCAGGCATGCAGGGAGTGTAACAGGCATGCAGGGAGTGTAGCAGACATGCAGGAAGTGTAACAGGCATGCAGGGAGTGTAACAGGCATGCAGGGAGTGTAGCAGGCATGCAGTGAGTGTAACAGGCATGCAGGGAGTATAGCAGGCATGCTGGGAGTGTAGCAGACATGCAGAAAGTGTAACAGGCATGTAGGGAGTGTAGCAGGCAGCAGGGAGTGTAGCAGGCATGCAGGGAGTGTAGCAGACATCCAGGAAGTGTAGCTGGCATGCAGGAAGTGTAGCAGGCATTCCAGAAGCCAGCATTAGTCTTCAATAAAGGTATGTAATATTGATTTGTTAAAAAAATTATTTTTTTTTTTTATATTTTTGTCTGGAATGGATTAACTGTAATTACATTAATTCTTATGGGAAATATTATTTCGGTTTTCAGTCATTTCGGTTTTAGGCAGAGCTTCTGGAATGGATTACGGCCAATAACCGAGGGTCCACTGTACAGTGGAACTTCGGTTTTCGTATGCCCTAGCTTGTTATTCTCCATAGAATGTATTTTTTGTTAATATTTTTGGGTGTCTGGAACAGATTAATTGGATTTACATTATTTCTTATGGGAAATATTAACAAAAAATACATTTTATAGAGAATAACTGTGGTTTTACATGCAAGCTGGGGCATACAAAAACCAAGGTTCCACTGCGCTCTGATAATTATACTTATGTATACCTGTACCTAAATAAACTTACTGTGCTGGCGTGCAGGTACACATTAAAATCACTAAGAGTGTCTTATATCTCGAGACGCCATATTAATAACGATAACAATAATATTCAATAATAATCACTGAGGCACATTAAATGTCGTATATGTATTACATTACTATGCACATTTTCATTAATCTAAGATATTTTTTCAAAATTATATAATAAACACACTACATAACATATAAACATGATAAATACACCCTACAGTAGAATAAATTAACATAAATTTGAGATGTGGTAGCCAGGTGACTTGTGGGAGTGATGGCAAGAATAACGTTTTCTCTAGTCCAACATCAGAGAAAATGTGTACATTATAATATTACTGGGGATAACTGCAAAAAATTATTCCTTTCGTATGCCTTCACTCAGAGTGTCATTTCTTCTAAAAATGGTGTTACATGAGAATGGGAGTGTTGCTCTTTATTTATTCTACTGTATCAACGTGGAGACGACTTGTACACAATGTAAAGTCTTTGCATTATGGTATAATACAAATGTGAGAGTAAGACATGTGCAACATCTGGGTATCTTTATTGTAGACGTTTCGCCATCCAGTGGCTTTATCAATACAAATTCTAGGACATAACTTGAAGACAGTAGAACTATGTACAGAAGATGAGGTAATCAGTCCCTCAACCTAGGAGTAGGTGCGAACAGCACCATAGTCGTGGAGATTCTCCACGACTATGGTGCTGTTCGCACCTACTCCTAGGTTGAGGGACTGATTACCTCATCTTCTGTACATAGTTCTACTGTCTTCAAGTTATGTCCTAGAATTTGTATTGATAAAGCCACTGGATGGCGAAACGTCTACAATAAAGATACCCAGATGTTGCACATGTGTCTTACTCTCATCTTGTCGGTATTATATACCATTCGTACACATAATACAAATGTGTATGAACCAAAACCAGATGCGTTCGCCTGGTTTGTTTACATAACTCTGTGTCTGTCCTCTCTCATGTACTCATGCTATCTCTCACTCGTTTATTCATTTCATCTCGTTTACTCACTTCTGACCCTACATTAAGACTACAAATATTCTAAGGTAAGTAATGAGTGAACTGTACGTACTATATGCATTTTATCGCTTTGGGATGCTTTAAATGTTGCAGCATATTATGTGTGGGTGGGGTGGCCTGGTATGGTAGCCTGGCTGGCTACCATACATACCACACTTGATTTCTTACAATAAATACTACTCATCTCACCCTACATTAAGACTACAAATATTTTAAGGTAAGTAATGAGTGTACTATATGTATCTTCTTGGAGAATAATATCATCATTATCAAGTTATATAACAGAGTCCAGTACCTGAGCCTCTCCTGAAAACCCACATCTGTTGTTGCACAAATGCCAACAATGGCTTAAAAGTACAATCGAGTTTATGCAAAGCAGAATAATAAATCCATAATGGACTCACATTTACTTTTTCGTTTCGATGCAGTCAGTGCCTTCTTGATTGTGGTCCAGTCATCAACAATATCTGGCTCCCGTAACATGTAAACAATATAGGGACCAGCAACAGTAGTGGGCTTTTTTTTCTTGCCATCAGTCGAGCTATTTGAACCCTGAAATATTTAATTACTGGGTACATTAAAATTCAACAATATATATTACACAAACATATAGAAATAAAGCATAATTTACTAACAGGCAGTCACAATAAGATTTAATATGCAAAACAATGTATAATGGTAATCACCTAATGAGTACCAAAGCACTTGACCATATACAACTTCTCCTCACTTAACGATGGAGTTCTGTTCCTAAGACCACGTTGGTAAACAAATTTGTCGCGAAGTGAGGAGAATACTATAATGGTAGTGGGTGGGTTTGTGTCAACCATCTTTGATATTGTTTTAATGTCACCTTTGCACCATTTATTACATTTCTGGTATATTTTTAAATATTTATACAGAAGTGTACTGTATACTGTAATGAACAGAATAGAGGAAATCAGTTCTAATATACAGTTGGGAATGCATACTGGTCAGAGACCCAGTCGTAAGTCCGAGTTGTTAGTAAACGAGTACATTGCTAAGTGAGGAGAGGCTGTACTTCACCAATACTACTGTTCAGCTTTTGCTAAAGAATTCTGTTTTACATTGACTTGAAACATCGATTACACGAGACTGTATAAATACAGTGGTCCCTAGCTTTTCGTAGTTCTCGGCAATCGTAAATTTTGCCAATCATAGGGGTATTTTCGTATAAACATGGACTCGCTTTTCATAGGTTGACTCGCAAATACTGTAGTAGTTCATCCGGGACGCGTATGCACGGTGTGAGCCAAGGCGGCCTCCCTACCCAGCCAGTCTGGCATTGTTTACCAGTGAGTGAAGGTCCCCTCAAGTGCTCCTACGAAATATTTCATAATATTCCACTCATTTTAGTGCTTGCAATTACTAAATAAGCTACCATGGCTCCAAAGAAAGCTCCTAGTGCCAAGCCTGTGGTAAAGAAGGTGAGAAATATGTACAGTGACAAAGTCTTGGGCCATTTTAAGGAAGTGTTAAAGAGACGCCAGAAACAGAGCTCTCTCCACAGTTACTTTGCGAGACAGGACTAGAGTGACTCTCAAGGTGGTCCTAGTGGCATTAAGAAACAGAGAAGAGAAGCAACCCCAGAGAAGCAATTGGTACCTGAGGTGTTGCTGGAAGGGGATTCCCCTTCCAAACTAAACAATCCAATCTCTCTCCTCCTCCAGTCTCCCATACACTAAGAAGAATCTCCAATAAAGGTAAGTGTTATGCTGTTAATGTTTCATTCATCATTTCCCATTGTATTGTTTATGTACTATATGTATATTTCATGTAAAAATTTTTTTTGTTTTAATATTTCTGGGTGTCAGGAACGGATTAATTGTATTTACATTATTTCTTATGGGGAAAATTGAATCGCAAATCGTAAATTTCATTTATAGTAGCTCCTCCAGGAACGGATTAATTACGAAAAACGAGGGACCACTGTACTAACATAATGCTAAAAAGAGAGCAAATGAGAGAGTGGGTGAGATGTTATCAACAAATTTTGTTGAAAATAAGAAAAAGATTTGGGGATGAGATTAATAAGTTGAGGAAGCCTAGGGAACAAATGGATTTGACAGTTAAAAATAGGAAAGGAGAGTTATTAAATGGAGAGTTAGAGGTATCGGGAAGATGGAGGGAATATTTTGAGGAATTGTTAAATGTTGAAGATAGGGAAGCTGTGATTTCGTGTACAGTGGACCCCCGGATAACGATCAGCTCCCAACTCGACCAATTATGTAAGTTTATTTTTGTAAGTGCTTTTGTAGGTGTATTTTTAGGGGTCTGAAATGGACTAATCTAATTCACAATATTTCTTATGGGAACAAATTCGGTCTATAACGGCACCCAAACAGACTTCTGGATTGAAATAATATCGTTATGCGGGGGTCCACTGTATAGGGCAAGGAGGAATAACATCTTGTAGGAGTGAGGAAGAGCCAGTTGTGAGTGTGGGGGAAGTTCATGAGGCAGTGGGTAGAATGAATGGGGGTAAAGCAGCTGGGATTTATGGGATAAAGATAGAAATGTTAAAAGCAGGTGGGGATATAGTTTTGGAGCAGTTGGTGCTATTATTTAATATATGTATGGAAGAGGGTAAGGTACCTAGGGATTTGCGACACCAGAAGAGACCTCAGGATTAGGGGTTGTGACAGTCAAAGGATTAAAGCCTGTATTTAGGTCATGGCAGTGCCGCCCTTTGAGTCGTATGTCACACCTTAGGAAATGCTACCGTCAGTCACTGTTTACAGACATGAGAGTGCAACAGCGTTCGTGGACGAGTAGTTAAGCCTGATGTTCAGCCCTGTGGACAACCTGTATACAGAAAATTTTAGTTCCAGTGCTGACATCTCCTGGCTCTATCCTCAATGAAGCTGCGCAAGCTCGCCAGTTTTCTCTTCCCTCAGGCTGGGAGAGTTTTTTTTTTTGCCTGCTGCATTTTATGTCCATTTTTGATTTACGAGTGAGCGAAAGCCAGCCCCTCCCTGGGGTAGCTATTGTAAGTAATTCTTTCACACCTTTGGGCCCACCAGTATTGTCATGTCAGGATGATGCGAGGTGTGTGGCCGAGCAAATGTAGACAGCCATTTCTGTCTGCTAGTTTCATATTCCGCGGCACTCTGGTGCTGCCCTCTCTAGGCCTGTCCAGGTCAGTGGGACGCTGGGCCCACTCTCTCTCACTTCATGGCCTACCCTCTCGGATTCAACTGCTCCCCTCAGCAGACTGCCTATCGGTCATTCCCTCACTTCGCCCGTTGTGTACTCACTCCATTCCAATTAACCCTTCGACTGTTTTTGTTGTATATTATATATGTCTTATGAGCCACAGTTTTTGACATATATATACTCATAAATTCTAGCGGCTTCAAATCAAGCAGGAGAAAGCTGGTAGGCCCACATGTGAGAGAATTGGTTTTACTATGAAAAGAACCTTGAAATGGAGCTCAAAGTAGGGGAAATGTTTGATTTTTGCCAATGTTCAAAAGTAAACAAATGATGTCATTTTCCAATAAATGTCCAAGTAGCCATTCTAATATGCAGTCACGAATGGGTTGACATTATTTATACAATTATTACAATATTGCAGTAGTCTGCATAACAGTAAATCTTCTATTGTTTGCTTGAATAAAAATTCAAAATGGAAAGCAAGAGTAATATCAGAGGGGCCTGGAGATGTGACTGATGAACAAAGAAGATATTATTTTAGAGCCAGGAATGTCTGCATTGTTCATTCTGGACCCTATTTTGAAATTGTCATATTTTTAATTTTTGTGAAATTGGCCAAATTGCAAAATTTCTGACCACGTTATTGGGTAGTTGAAATAGGTAAATGGGCAGTTTCTTGTACTCAATCAATAGAAAAAATGGAGTTCTAAAGAAATAGCTATGAGTTTGGTCGACTGGAACAATGGAATTAGCTGAAAATAGGTCAAACTGGGTGAAATCGCCGATTCGTAAATATCGCCGAGGTCGCTAACTTCATGAGAGTGTAATTCCATCAGTTTTTCATCAAATTTCGTTCTTTTGGTGTCATTACAATTGGGAAAAAATTCTCTATCATTTCATAAGAAAAAATAATTTTTTTTCTTTTGGAAATTTTGCTACACCAGGAGACACCTCAGGATTTGGGGTTGCGACAGTCAAGGGGTTAAAGCCAAACTAGTCCACGGCCATATCTTTGCTACCTATGCTACCTCCTTTGGCACTAAACCGCTGTTCAACAGAACGAACAGTAATAACAGTTAGATATCCTGTGTTTTTTTTTTTTCAGAGTTTAAGTGTAAAGATAGATCTTTTTTATATCTTTGGCAGCATTAATGATGCAGCTCACAAGATATTTTTTGTTCGGCGTGCAAAAAGCGTCTTTTGTTTTTGTCTTTCCAAAGACTTTATATTAGAAAAGTATCTGTCATAGATGACAGAAGTGATTCTGTGGTTGTGTCGATGACATACAGTCAACATTTCCTGGGAGTCGACATCAGTATGGGTGAGACTTTTACTCTTGTGAAGTGAGATGTGTCTTAAGCAGAAGTAAAAACTGCCTTCATAACATTGTGAAAAGTTGTATAGTTCAGTTATTTATTGATTTAATTTTCCTTTGAGACACAGAAACAGTGATAATGATAAGTGCAGAGTACACAAGCATTTCAGATTCATCCACAGTGTATTTTTCTCTCTCTCTTACATTTGATACACACATTCAGAGTGCTTATATTACATGCATATTGTATATATGTGACTGGGATTCAAACTCAATGTCTGGTGATCCTAGAATTATCAGCCTACTCAGATATGCAAAACTTGAGGAAATTAAAACTGCATCAGGGTATACAACAAATTCTAATTACACAATAGATCGAAGCACTAATGTGAAGGACCTGGGAGTGATAATGTCAGAGGATCTCACCTTCAAAGACCACAACAATGTATCTACCTTATCTAGTAGAATAATGATAGGATGGATAATAAAGAACCTTCAAAACTAGGGATGCCAAACCCACGATGATTCTCTTGAAATCTCTTGTTCTCTAGGGTGGAATACTGTTGTACACTAACTGCCCCCTTCAAGGCAGGCGAAATTGCTGACCCGGAGATTGTATGAAGAACTTTAATGGCAGACATAAGTACAATAAAGCACCTAAATTACTGGAAATGGTTGAAGTCCCTTGATTTGCATTCCCTGGAATGCAGGCGAGAAAGATATGTGATAATATACACTTGGAAAATCCTAGAGGGATTAGAACCAAATTTGGACATGAAAATCACTTCCTATGAAAGCAAAATACTCAGCAGGAGATGCAACATTCTCCCAATGAAAAGCAAGGGTGCCATGTGTACACTAAGAGACAACACAATAAGTGTCAGGGGCCCAAGACTATTCAACTGCCTCCCAGCATACATATTGGGGATTACCAATAGACCCCTGGCTGTCTTCAAGAAGGCACTGGACAGGCAAGTAAAGTCAGTACCTGATTAGCTGGGCTGTGGTTCTTCCATCAGTTTAACCCTTTCAGGGTTTTGGCCGCACTAGTACGGCTTAC